AAGATGCCGCTCGATCGCAAGAAATATGCCGAACCTTTCAACTATTCTGAAAAGGACTGTTGAAAAGATGCGCATAAGGTGGACCAAAGCAGAATTCTCAACTATCCTGAAAAGGACTGTTGAAAAGAAGTGCGTATGATCAACGGAATCCGGACTCACAACTATCCTGTTGTGAAAATCCCGCTTGATCGAAAGGCGCAACGTTTGCCTTTGCACTATTAAGGGGTTGATAGGATTGCTATCGCACTATTAGGGGATTCATAGCATAGTTCTTATTAATGCAGTTATTAAGGGGTTCATAGCATAGTTCTTATTAATGCGGCTATTAGGAGGTTATTAGGGGTTGATGGCACTGCCACTGCATTATTGGAGGTTTATAGGACTGCCATTGGGTTATTAGGATGTTTATAGAATAGTTTATATTAGGGGGGATTATTAGAGGGTTATTAGGGGGTTGCTAACATTGCCATAGAAATATTAGGAGGTTATTGGTCAGATAAACGTTAAATTCGGGTTCATTCAATGCAATTTTTTGGATTTTACCTTGATCTAACCTTGACTCTGAGCCGACCAGGTCAAACGCACCCCAGATTCGAATTCAGCGACCTCAAAAACCTATAGAAACAGTACCTGAACCAAGATTAATGGGATAATCTTGATTTGACCTTGATCTAACTTTGACCCCTGAGCTAATCGGGTCAAATGAATCGTGGATTCGGATTCAGCGACCCCAAAAACATAAATGTAATGGTATTACCTTTTGCACTTTTATTCACATATGACTTTTTTTCGTGGGGCTGTCATATTTGTATTGTTGGTACTGTTGTTATGAAATCGTTAAAGTGGTGAACTTCATTCGATGATATCTCCGCGAAAAAAAAGATTTGTTAAATTTGAAAAATGCATTGGAAAGGGCAGAAGCAATACTTTCAGATGGTTAGATTCGTTTTTAGCAAAAAAAAAAATGTTTTGCGGTGTAACATAGCTTCTAAAAGCGAAAATACTTGTTTTTCGCACTTTTAGATTAGAATATCTTAAAAACGTGACGTGATAGAGCATTTCTGATGCCTGATTCGTGTTCAGAGCATCAAAAACCTTCGGATTACATGCATAGCGTTCTTGCGATAACTCAAAACTTTTTTTTTGCACACCTGTGTAATTGGCATGCATAAGAGTATAGACCTTCTAAGGAAGATTTCGGATTCATTTCAAGTATATGAGATCAATCTACCATTTTGTGTTAGCTCAACTCGTTGGCCAAGTAATCGTGGACCGGATTTACGCAACCCTTGCAACTATGGTTTGGATATGGGTTATAATGGATAATTGGCATAAATGAGAGTGTAGACCTTCTGACAAAAAATTTCGGCTTCATTTTAAGTATATCAGATCAATCAAGTATATCATTTTAAGTATATAATCAATTGTTATACCTCTTCGTTTGAGCTATAACAATAATAATAATATAACAACAATAATATAATTTTACAATAATTCAATAACCCAATAACCCAATAACGCAATTTTACATTTATAATGAAAACAATGGAATTTCTGTTTATAAAATGAGCAGGAGCATCATTTAAGATTCATAGAAATATAGAAAATAATAAATCAGTATTTTAACTGAGTGAATTAACAAAAAATAGACATTTGTATTAATAATTGCATATTTTTAATTAAAAAAAACGTACTGAATTTTTTAAGAGATAATGTTTTGTTATTTCACATTGTATGAAAAAAGCAACTGTTAAAAATCATTAATTAATATATAATTAGCTGGATAGCAATAATTCTCCCCTAGATTAATAACGAAAAATATTTTTAATAAATAATGAAAACTTATTTTCCATCAAAATGGATTTGCGATTAAAAGACTGTTTTATGTGCATAAACCAATATAGACTTTCCAAAAAATTACAAATTACAAAATACTAAATAAAATAATAATAAAAACTTGCCGTGATTTATGAAATTGCACTCAGAACTTAATTTCGTCATGATCAATCATAAAAATACCGTTGCTGAAGTCCTAACATTCCTATTTTTGTAACTATTTAAAATTAGGACATGGCACAATAATATGGTCCACTGAATCAAATATTTCAACAACTAGCTTTTTTTATTCAAAATATAATTAAAACTGTTAATACTTTATTCGTTCAGATTTGACATTATTAGTCGATATGCTATCTCCAGCAAATGGTTCGATAAGAAGCGACAGCGGTTTTCTGAAAGTAATGTATATTCCTATTGATTCCTGAAATGTTATTAACAAAAGGGTATTGTTGGTATAAGTGAATAATGTCCGCATAAGTATGGTTTAGAAGGTACAATTTTTAAAGTACGTACTTATGAGGACGTCTGCATAAGTTGATGTCATGTCTGCATAATTCGGTATCATGTCTGCATAAGTCGGTATCATGTCTGCATAAGTCGGTATCATGTCTGCATAAGTTGGTGTCATGTCTGCATAAGTTTTTTCCGACTTATGAAGACAATCATACATTATATATTCGACTTATGCAGACATGTCTCAGAGACATGTCTTCATGCAGAAATTCATCCCAAAATTGCTCACAGCAGAGCAGAAGAACATTCGCTTAGAAATCGCTCTGGACAATCTGGAAATGGTCAATAATGATGATAATGTGCTTAAAAAAATTATTACACGTGATGAATCATGGGTTTATGGTTATGATCCTGAAACAAAACAACAATCTTCACAGTGGAAGCATTCTGAATCGCCAAGACCAAAAAAAGCACGTCAAAGTCGGAGCAATGTTAAGTCAATGTTAATTGTTTTTTTTCGATTGTGAAGGTGTTGTACATCATGAATATGCGCCAACAGGTCAGACAATCAATAAAGAATACTACGTTCAAATTTTGAAACGTTTGCGTGATGCAGTAAGAAGAAAACGGGCGCACTTTTGGGAAAGTGGTGACTGACTTCTCCATTACGATAATGCGCCAGCGCATTCATCCAATCATGTGCAGCAGTTTTTGAGCAACCACAATGTCGCATTGCTTCGACAACCTCTATACTGTCTCCACATAGCCCCTTGTGACTTTTGGCTGTTTCTAAAACTAAATAAACCACTCAAAGGACACCGATTCGATGACAAAACAACGGTTGAAAACAATGCGACGAGTGTACTTAAGGCTATCCCTAAAAGTGAGTTCCAGGACTGTTTTGTAAAGTGGAAACATCGATGGAACCGTGTTATTCAATCAAGTGGGGATTACTTTGAAGGATGCCACCCACCAGATGATAAAGAATAACGCTATCACGAAAATATAAAGATAGGCCCGATACTTTCCAGACAGACCTCGTACGAAGCGGCCTATCCCTGCCTGTGTTAGAGTTTAGGAGCTCCAAGTCCCCCAAGGTGCCTTAGAGGATTCCCGCCATCTAGTGGTAACAGCCGGCACGTCGAGTTATCGACGCTCGCTAACGCATGGTAACTGGTCGGCGTTATCGCCGGTATAGTAGTACCCACAAGAAATTGAAACATATCCCATAGCTTGTGTTTCAATATCTTGCGGGTACTACTATACCGGCGATAACACCGACCAGTTACCATGCGTTAGCGCATGTCGATAACTCGAGTCACCACTAGATGGCGGTAGCCCTCTAAGGCACTTTGAATGACTTAGGCTGGAGAATTCTTATACATTGCGCTTCGTTTCCTGTATGTAGTCTCCATGGCCAGAGATTAGTAGGGGGATCGCTAAAGATATGCTTCTTCGTGTGCCGGATTTTGTCGGAGCGATCCTAGCGGCCACGCGTAGAACTAAGGCAATCTACCAAAACGAGGTGCGGAAGATGTTTCAATTTTTTTAAGGACTATTTTGAAAAAAATATTTTTTTCTTAAAATTGTTCTAAAAATTGAAAAAGTGAAATTTTTTGAAAACGTTCTCTCCTTAAGTGGAAATACAGATCATAACGAAGGAAATGAGCTTTCCCAAAATGATTTTCGTTCACTCCAACGTTGAAAAAAGCGTGGCAAAGCCAATTTTTTTAAAAAATAAGGCGTGATGGTTAATCAAGCTTTCTGATGCTACTAATCATAATTTTGGAGTTTGCAACAAAGAAAATAAAAACTCACAGATAGCACTTTGAGATGAAAAAAGTTTTATATCGATATCTTCATTAAAGCGGTTTTTACAAGGCTATGAATTTTATCAATTTAACACAGGCTGTCTTCTTAATTTTTAATTATATGAACCTGTGGACAAAGACATTGAATAAGCGGGTTTTTTCCACTTTTAGAAATATTGATTTGATCAGAAGTTATCAACGCTCAAAGTTAACGAAAAATGTTAAATATTCGACCTTGAAAAATTTATAACTTTTGAAATATCCATTTTATGAAAAAGTTAAAGATCTTTTCGTCTTAAAATAAGCCATATTTAAAAAAAAAAAATTGATTCATTGCGGAGAAACCATTGTTTGATGGTTTGTTTAAACAAATACATTTTAAACAAATTTACCCACAATTTTAACAACATCTAATTGTAGATTCGGATTCAGCGATTCAAAATACATGTGAATAGTAGGAGTCAATCCAGGCGTTGAACTAAAATATCCATTTGGGCTTCGAGAAAAGAAAACACAAACATTTCAAAATATGCAAATGCAGCTACCTGCTGTGTCATTCATCCTTCGCCTGAGCCAAGCCTGAACTTCTCTCTTCACCTCTTACTAGGCTCTCTTCTACTTCCCACTCGGCGAACTCGGCTGTCCATCTTTCGCTCCTCGTTTTGCTAGATTGCCCTAGTTCCACCCGTGGCCGCTAGGATCGTCCCAACAAAATCCGACGCAGGAAGAAGCATACCTTTAGCGATCTCCCTACTAATCTCTGGTTGGGCGATTCTGTCAAAAAGCTTCCAGCAGTTGACTTCAGACCTCACGATTTTCTTAAAGCGGGAGTGAAAATTGTGAGGTCTGAAGTCAACTGCTGGAAACTTTTTGACAGAATTGCTCAATCGCCTAACCCTGTATAAAAAGCTCTGCACGAGAGCTTCTCCATGTATACATTGTTATTAACTACCGGGTAATACACAAAATGGGACGAAAAGGGAATAGATGCTTTAAAAAAAACAAATCCAATATCAAAAGTATTGAAAATTTAAAAACAAACTTACATAATACTAAAATCGAAAAATTGTTACAAAGTAAGTTATAGCTTGAACCTATTTCGATTTAAAGTGTAAGAATTGTTGCATAATGAGAATAGAGATATACTTTACTCTATCAAATGATTTGAATGCTAAATAAACTTCCAACAAATCTTAATTAAATATTTCACAGATTTATTTGAATAAATTTAAGGTTGCATGGTAGAGGTAGAACTTTTATTTTCATTTCTTTTGTGTAATTTAGAGCTGTTTGAGTATAAGTTAAAATTTAATATCTATTTTTATAATTTTTTCATGGTTTCATTTATTATTTCATAGTATGAGAACCTGTCAATAAATTATTAACACTCAGATAAAATTATTTTACTTTGGTTTATAAATTACATTTCTGTATTTACAGCAAGTTTTACAGCAAAACAGGATATTCTTCAAACTGCTATTACTATTAAATATTCTTTAATTGTAAGAACTTTATATTATGTTTATGAATTCTGATTAATTTTAAAGAATATATTATTTTCCGAACAATTACAATAAAAATCTTTATGATGATGAGACTGATTGATCATATAATAATGGATAAATATGAAAGTATATATACAAGGAGTAAGGAGTAAGTGGTTTAGATAATTAATTAGTTCATGTACTATATTGTTAACATTCAACTAAACTATATATTGGATTTTTATTAAAATTTTTTATTTTAATTGTCAGAACCAACTAATATTTCAGTGTCATAGTTTAATATTCATATGCTTAGTTTTTCAGTGCTTTTGATATTTATTTCAATGCTCAAATATTTAAAAATTATAAGTGAAAATAAAACTTCTATACCAATTATTTCCATTTAATAATTTTATAATTTCGATATCCTATACCTATATTATTTATTTATTTGGCCAAAAGTACTATATTATCATAGTTGCATATAATCAAAAATCAAAGTCACCAAAAGAACATGATGTCTTATTTAAAAAGTTGGTTTAAAAATATTGTATCATAAAATGTGAATTAAATAATTACTAGTTTAAATTATTTACAGTACTATAATATTTTCTCGTTTAACAACTTTATTTATTCTTAATCTTAACTCTTTGTTATTTACCAGTCCTATAGTATTTTATTAATGAATAAGAAATTACTCTTACACGATATCTACAGAGATTTTGTAATAGAATTTTGTAGTCTATTCTATAAAATGCTTTTATCAACCAAATCTAAAAGAGTAACAATCATAAGTATACCTTTATCTAAGGAACTGTTTAATATATTAGTTAATTTCATTCAATTGTCTTTGGTTTCATTACTTTGGAAGAAACCATTTTGCTTTTTTGATATTATTGTGGTGAATGAATGGTGATGAAACTTATTTACAAAGTTGTACAATTTATTATAAACCATTTTTTCATATACATTCAGAATATTAGAATTTTTAATCTTTGATTTCTCTTTAGCTATATCATTTCAAATAATTTCACTTTTTTTTTTAACCATTAGACCAAATTTATTAACGTATACAGTTATTCAAAATATTTGTCAATAGTTCAGCTACTATCATAGTATTTATTGAGTTAATATGTCTGTATTTGATCACATATTCAGTAGTTCCATATTTATTTTCTATTTTTAAATTATTACTTATTATTCTATTAATTATTATTCTATCAGATAATCATTGCATGATTCGGTCTTTTTGCCTATTTATCTGTTGATTAATTTCTATAAATATTTACATTATTACTATTGCACTCTATTTTTTAATCACGTTTACAGCTAGCCTTTATGATTATTTTATTTAGAAGTTTATCGTAATTTTTATAATTGGTTTTCAGAAACTCATTATTTGGTTGTAACTTTCATAACTTATATAATTGTTATTCATGTTATTCAAGAAATTACGACAGTTTCGGTTATCCATTTTTTTAATTTATTGACATTGTATTCTTATTTAACGGACTCTTTTTCGATAATCTAACATGATTTTTTATTTTATTAATATCTTATGTCTACTCGAGGAAATGGTTAAGTGTCTACATGAGAAATAAATATACAAATTTGATCCAACACATGTAAGAAATTTGTACAAGAACATATACAAAATCTGTATAAATATTCTGCATTATTTATACAAATTTGTATAAGTTTAGTATAAGTCTTGTACAAATTTATATACATTTTATATAAAGTTTGAACGAAAATTGAACGAGTTTTGTATTTATTTAATTATCGACTTATTCCTCAAAATGGCATACATGAATACACGCATGTTATGGATAAAATAATATGAGCAGCTTCCATAGAAGTTGAACCATACGAAAAATAAAAAAATAAAATAATAGAACCGACCTTAGCAAGACTTGAACCAGGGTGTCTAGTCGTCAGGAAATTTGGAAAAAGCGTCAAAAAATCGTGATTTTTTTTCACAATCGGGAATTTTGGTACACTTTGCAGAAATAATTAAAAATAATTAAACGTCATAGTTTCAAGTCATATATTGACAATCAGTAGAAATACAAAACATGATTCCAAAAATATATTCTTCAAAAGCTGACCGCTCTTATACCTCATAACATGCACGGCGCGGCCGTTGCAACTTTCGATCAGTAAATAAGATTCCACCCTGCTAAAACAAGGACATTCAACCGGATTGAAAATCCAATCCGCTTTGAGTCTATTTCTGAATCCTGCAAATGACAATTAAAATTCATCAAAGTAGAATGAATCTTAATTCACTTTAATGTTTCTTTATTCCGAAATGAATTTTACATATTATAATAATTAGTTTCAGGACAGAAAAATATTAAAGGGGATTCAGATCGATTCTAGTTTGATAAATTTAAATTGTCATTTATAGGATTCAGAAATAGACTCGAAGCGGATTGGATTTTCAATCCGGTTGAATGTCCTTGTTTCAGCAGGGCAACCCTACAGAAAAAAGTCACATGATTTTTTCTATTTCAGTATCTAAGCGTAAGAAGTATATTATTTACTTGATGCGTATAAAAGCGGGCTAAGTATTATCTGAAGTTTGATCTGTTTTGCCGAGTTTAATGCGACCAGACACATAGCGCGCATTGATTGCGATTGTTGTTATTCAAGTTGAAGAAATAAAATTATTACATTAATTTATCAATAATAATTTTATCATCATTTATTCGAGCCTATTTAACAAAACATTAAAAGGAACGATACTCTTTCCATCTACCGGAACAAAGCAAATAATCATGTGATATCACATAAAATCACGTAGCCTTTCCATTTACTGGGACTTCGTAGAATATTAATTATGTGATATCATTAATCACATCTTCCTGGACTCAGCTAATAATCATGTGATATCACGTAACAAATCACATGATTTATCATGTAAAAAAGACACGTAACAATTCATGTAACACGTACGTTAATAATTTTGAATTCCGCATGGGAAATAAGCCCGAATAACGTCGCGTCACAAATTATTTTAAGGGGGAAGGCTCGGAAGGCGTATTCCATCCGTGCCATGCGAATTAACGCACAGGAAACAGAACATCGGCTTACAACTGTCCCGCGAATCCCCGCGAGTCGCGAGTGCGGTCCTCCTCTTCGATACTGTTCACTCGGTGGCAATTAACTATTCACGCACTTCTTAGTCGCGAGGCTTAATTAGCTCGAAATTAGTTGCTGGTCAAAGCCATACTAACGCCGCGACCTCGCGTTTTTCGCGACGTCTTACGCGCCCTTCCCTATCGGTATCCAATCGGCCGAGCGCCGCCGGCTACACACACATGTGCGACTCATGCCGGTGACACTATTTCTCTCTCTCCTCCTCTGCTCCCCGCTCTCGCTCCATCCCTCCAACGCCAGGCATCTCCGCCGATCAGGAATCAAACCTGTAACAATAGCTCACGTCGCTCGTTTTGCGATGCAAACATCTTTTTGCTTTTTAGTATACAGACAACTTAGTCGCAAATCGATAGTGACTTTCAACGGGAAAGCATTTCCCTGATACTTCGGAAGATATATGAAATCGGTTTCGTGTTCGATTCTTGATTTGCCATAAGATACGATTATTGATTTATTGTGATGCTTAAATGCAAAAAGATTAATATGTGAAACAGTGTCTGTCATTTTAAACACAGTTTAAGGAAAACTGGAAAAGCAGTTTTATTTTTGTACATCAAGTTTGCTAATGTCAATGTCATTGTCGCTCTTCTGGTAAGGAGTATTTGAGGTAAGGAATATTTTCGTAATCTGTTTAACAAATATATGTGTCTTAAATTGTCGAAATATTATTTCTTTTATAATTTTGTTATCGTAACGTACTAATATTGAAAAATGGCACATGTACATCACGTTGATTTGTAGTGGTTGACAATTAAAATCTTAGTTACAATTCAAACGCAAGTTCAATTATTTTATCTTAATGCAGCGAGCACATTTATAACTTTATTTCTTAACATTGAAAATTTGTTATGTGTGACAAATTTTAATATCAAACTTGAAGCCACTGAATTTTACGATTTTTTATAGACTGTTACGTCGATTTGAAGCGATAATCTGTTAGTCGCTACTATTTATATAGCATTTGTTTTTCGCAATAACGAACAAGAATAAACATTTTGTTTTGATCATTAATTTTTCATATTTTTCGAATAATGAACATATCTTATTTAGATAGGAAAATTTCTGTTAATATTGCATATTTTCAATTAATTATTATTCAAACTATATTAGAGCATATAATGGCATACAGCAATAGAAATACCTCATACCCGAGAGACTATGAAGATGCATTTCCTTGGGTTCAAGATAGCAAGAAAGGTAAAAATTTGGCATTTTGTAAATGGTGTAATAAAGACATATATTCATTCAATGGGCAGATAAGCCCTTGTTATTCACAATGACGGAAAGAAATATCAGAATCAAGAAGGTTTTCATACTAAAACAGTTAAATAGAGAACTCTTATACTTTTGTTATTTATTCTTTAGGTTATAGGTTCTTCAATAAGTAAACAGTAGAATTAACAAAATAGTAATAAAATATGTTTATTGTA